ACTCTTTACGAAACTTCTTACTTCACTTTTTTAGAAAAATGAAATGGTCTTTCCTTTTACTCCCGATCAAATATCTTTTCTTGAATTATGAATAACACAAATGGATTGAAAATTTTAATTAAATTATCTCAAAATAAACCTTCATTTCGGTGTAATATTGAAATTAGCTTGAATTCTTCTTAACCTCTGAATAGTGGTTGACCCAACGGGTCACGGTGGGCTAGTGTTTACTAGATCTAGGCCTTGCCTGTTGCATATATTGCCAATCTTGCACACCAGTTAATATGTTACATCAATCTCGTATTATCTTTTTGTTGAACATGCACTTACTTGAATGTTGTACTCTAGGACTTGTATTTGATCTACATATCAATGATGGAATAGTGTAATTTACTTTTGTACGTCAATTCGGTCTCACTGTATTTCAGTGGGCGGCTTTTAAAAGTTAAAACTGCAAACGTAAAAATAACACAAATAACGTAACACTGTGTCGTATTTACTTAATGTAGGGCAGTTGCGTTATATCCTAGGGGAGAGCATAATTATTAATTAATAGGCATTATAGGCCAGAGGGAAATTTTGCGCCCCTTCACACCTGCGCCTGGGGTCGACTGCTCCCTTGACCCCTCTTGCTACGCCACTGCCCGTCTGTTGACAACTTGTCAAATGAAACCATTAACAACGTATTCTTCAAAATTGTTTTAACTAATCGTTTCCGTCTGTTGACAACTTGTCAAATGAAACCATTAACGTATTCTTCAAAATTGTTTAACTAATCGTTTCCGTCTGTTGACAACTTGTCAAATGAAACCATTAACAACGTATTCTTGAAAATTGTTTAACTAATCGTTTCCGTCTGTTGACAACTTGTCAAATGAAACCATTAACAACGTATTCTTGAAAATTGTTTAACTAATCGTTTCCCTCTGTTGACAACTTGTCAAATGAAACCATTAACAACGTATTTTTGAAAATTGTTTTAAGTAAGCGTTTCCGTCTGTTGACAACTTGTCAAATGAAACCATTAACAACGTATTTTTGAAAATTGTTTTAAGTATGCGTTTCCGTCTGTTGACAACTTGTCACTGCACGGGCGGGGATTTTATTCACTTTCACGTTCATTTCGTTTTAATTATTTCATCCAAAACAACTCTTAATCAAATGATATCCCAACATTTCACTTATAATTGTATTTTGGAGAAGATTTGTTGGGATACTACTTGTCTAGTCTTACCGACGCCTCCCCCCCCCCCCAGTGGCACAGTGGAATGTCTGCGGACTTACAACGCTAGCATCCAGGTTTCGATACCCGTGGTGGGCAGAGCGCCCATTGTGTTGCTTTGTGCTTAACTTCAAACAAACAAACTTACCGACGCCACTGGCTAGACCATATATGTAATAAAATGTTCAGTATGGTTGTCTTGTTTTTAACGTTTCGTGGAACCGTTGATAACAGCCGTATTATATCTTGTACAAGTAGCGGTAGTACTACTAGTGCAGGTTTGAATGGCTGGTTCTTCATTAGGGTACAATTATAGAAGTTTAATTGATTTATGTTACGTCATAAGATCACGAGTGTTAAACTTTCTCTAAAATGGAAACAACACGTTACTGAATTATCTGAATAAACAAAGTTCTTTGGTTTTGTTGGCACTGATTCCAGTGTCGAATCCTTTGGAAAATAATGAAGTCGTTGCATTTAGCCACTACGCACACTTCATAACTACACATCGACCAACCATTTTAATTTTACATAAATCGAAATAAATTATAAAAGGTGAACCCGATCACTTTCACAAAGAGGGACTTATTTTAACTTTTTTTTAAGGGTAAACAAAGTTTTTCTTTTTTCTGGAGAAAATTAGAAACTTGATCATGCCACGTAATGTCTAGAAAGGACCACACAAAGTTTATGTACGGTTGTCTTACCGATGTGAGACCCCTGGTGGGTCAGTGGTAAGTCTACAGATTTATAACGCTATAATCAGGGGTTCGATTTCTCTCGGTGGACACAATAGATAGCCTGATGTCGCTTTTCTTAACGATGCGGTGTTATATCAATCTCGGGCGGGCAGAATTAGCACCAAAATAAGGCCGTGGTGGCAGCTATTGCACAACCAGCAAGCAGACACGTTTTTTAAATATTAATCTCATCGTAAAAAATTAAATTTGTGAAGCTTTTTATTCAACGTACACGAGTAAACATGTTAGAAGAATTTATCTATATTAAAAAAATAAATAAAAATGATATAGGACTTTTTAATTTGTAGATATAAATTCAGATGAAACCTAGTTTTATGAGAAATACTAGCGTATAGCTCCCAAAAACGAACAGAATATATTCACAAATACGTATCCAGACATAAACAACAACTTAACATTAAAGTCTTAACTTACCGTAGTATATTATATAACTTTGGGATTGAACCAACGCATATTGATGTTTATGAATATGCCATACTGGGCCCGACATGGCCAGGTGGTTAGGGCACTCGACTCGCAATCTGAGGGTCGCGGGTTCGAATCCCCGTCCCACCAAACATGCTCGCTCTTTCAGCCGCGGGGGCGTTATAATGTGACGGTCAATCCAACTATTCGTTGGTAAAGTAGCAGCTCAAGAGTTGGTGGTGGGTGGTAATGATTAGTGGCTTTCTCTCTAGTCTTACACTGCTAAATTAGGGACGGCCAGCACAGATAGCCCTCGTGTAGCTTTGCGCGAAATTCAAAAAACAAACAATGCCATACTGAAC